AAAACACGAGCAAACCGTCCGCGTATCACGAGCGAATTGAACGCGCACGCTTAGGTATTTCTCATTACATTTACAAAGAAAAACTTTTTTAAAAATTAGTTCAAATAAAAGTCAAACTACTCTAAAAATGACTCTCCATTTCATCTCTTTCAAAACTCATGTCACCTTGTCGTTGAATGAGTAAATCACACTCGACTGTCACCTGCGCGCGCATTATTCCTCATCACAACGTGAGTTTAAAATAAAACCGCATGCGAAAAACGTCTGCGATGTTAACTTTGATTGTACATCTATATCAGGCCAAATCGTCTGTTGCCGAAGGATGAGACGGTATCATCAGTTTGTCGGAAAAGATCTGTTGCATCTTGTGACAGTCGACACAACCCATGGGAGGAGGATGATGATGATGATGATGATGCTCCAGCGCCTCAGTAACCCTTACAGCGCTGCATCACGTATGAACGTGAGCTCAATTTCATTAGTAGGCTACAGGGGAAAGCTTCAGTTTTTCAGATTATGGACCCCTTTTCACGGTCTATGACGACACATTTCGTATTAATAAACATCGGAAATATTGTTGTTCAAATTGTATTTGAATTCTATTTATTGTGCATTTGTAACACTATATTTTGTGCTTTACTATCCTGGCGTTAAATAAAATGAATAAATAAAAATACTAAACACTGCTGCTAATATATTGATATGTTTCTATAATCTGACAGCCTTGTAATCAGTCGTTCTATATTTCTATCGTTTCCATGCTCAGAAATGGGAAAGGGTCCATTGAGTCAAAATTCCACGTCCAATCAAGATCAGGAGAATTGGATAAGTAAGTCTAAGGGCAATTTTTAAATATATATATTTAAGTATTAATATATAAATTATATAGAAAAATATGTTATAAATGTTTTTTAAAAATTAAAGACTTAAATATAAAGAATCTGATGTTTTACATTTGAGGTAAATTTGTCTTACAACGTCACCTAGTGTACAAGTAAAGTAGAGCAGGTTTAACGTCATGCATTTTCTACCTTGCCATGGTTTGGTTATCCCTTGCCTTTTCATGGTTTAAAATTAGCATTTATTTTTTTATTCATGTATATAATAAATACATATAATAAATTATAAGAAAACATTCTATATTAATTTACTCCACTCAATTCATTAATTTCTCATCTGACAGTTTAAAGACAGTTGTCTTGCAACATTTAAATTCAGGCACAATTCACAAACAAGATATAAAACAACTTAGCTCTTATAAATCTGGAAGTATCATAAAGTAAGGTCACCATATCGTATTTAACATTGAAAGTAATATTGCACTATGGTAAGGCAAATTTTCTCTTCTTTAATCCACCTCTTCAATGGTGGGGCCCTGTGATTCAGGCTGGGCTTGGAATCCACAGCCACCTGCGGGAGGAACTCCTTGATAGAGCCGACTGATGATTGGATTACACACACTTTCCAGTTCCTTCTGATGGTGCTCATACTCTTCCTTTTCAGCCAGCTGATTGTTCTCCAACCAAGTGATAACCTCCTTACACTTATCAATGACTAACTTCTTTTCTTCTTCACTAATCTTTCCTTTCAACTTTTCATCCTCAACACTATTCTTCACGTTGAAGGCGTAAGACTCCAATGCATTCTTCACTGCAATCTTCTCTCTCTGTGCCTCATCCTCGGCTTTGTACTTTTCTGCATCCTGCACCATCCGCTCGATCTCTTCTTTGCTCAGTTGACCTTTGTCATTGGTGATGGTGATTTTGTTCTCTTTCCCTGTGCTCTTGTCCACGGCGGATACGTTCAGTATGCCATTGGCAATGTGGCGCTGGTGGGATACCCGTAAGCTCAAACTTGCCAAGCAAATTGTTATCTTTGGTCATGGCCCTCTCACCTTCAAACACCTGTATCAGGACGCCTGGCTGGTTATCAGAATATGTGGAGAAGATCTGCGTCTGCTTAGTGGGAATGGTGGTGTTGCGTTTGATGAGAGCAGTCATGACTCCTCCTGCGGTCTCGATACCCAAGGACAAAGGAGCCACGTCCAGAAGCAACAAGTCCTGAACGTTTTCCGAAGTGTCGCCCATCAGGATGGAGGCCTGCACCGCTGCTCCATATGCCACCGCCTCATCTGGGTTGATGCTCTTGTTGAGATCCCTGCCATTGAAGAAATCCTGCAAAAGCTTTTGGATTTTGGGGATCCTGGTGGAGCCGCCAACCAGAACAATGTTGTGGATCTGGGACTTTTAGCGTCTCTCAAAGCCTTCTCGACTGGTTCCAGCGTGCCTCTAAAGAGCTCAGCGTTAAGCTCTTCAAAGCGAGCCCTTGTGATGGAAGTATAGAAATCAATGCCTTCAAACAGGGAATCGATCGCGATGCTAGCCTGAGTGCTAGATGAGAGGGTCCGTTTAGCTCTTTCGCAGGCCGTGCGAAGCCTTCTCACTGCTCTCTTATTCTGACTGATGTCCTTCTTGTGCTTCCTCTTAAACTCTTCAACAAAGTGCTTCACCATCCGGTTGTCAAAGTCTTCCCCACCCAGGTGAGTGTCTCCTGCTGTGGCTTTCACTTCAAAGATCCCATCCTCAATCGTCAGGATGGACACATCAAAAGTGCCTCCACCCAGGTCGAAGATCAATACATTCCTTTCTTCTCTCCAGCCCTTGTCCAGCCCGTAGGCGATGGCAGCCGCTGTGGGCTCATTGATAATTCGCAGAACGTTCAATCCGGCGACCACCCCCGCGTCTTTGGTCGCTTGCCTCTGAGAATCGTTAAAGTATGCTGGGACCGTGATGACGGCGTTATTGACTCTCTGACCCAGGTAGGCCTCGGCGATCTCTCTCATTTTGACTAGGACCATGGATGAGATCTCCTCAGGGTAGAATGTCTTGGTCTCTCCTTTGTACTCAACTTGAACTTTTGGTTTGCCATTTTCGCAGATGACCTTGAAGGGCCAAAGCTTCATGTCAGACTGGACCACTGGATCATTAAACTTTCTACCAATCAGTCGTTTGGCATCAAATATTGTGTTGTTGGGGTTCATGGCGACCTGGTTCTTGGCTGCATCTCCGATGAGTCTTTCTGTGTCTGTGAAGGCAACGTAGCTTGGAGTGGTTCTGTTTCCTTGATCATTAGCAATGATTTCCACCTTGCCATGCTGGAACACCCCCACACAAGAGTAAGTGGTTCCCAGATCAATGCCAATGGACACACCTTTAGACATCTTGATTATCAATAGTTAAATATCACCTGCAACACACAGAAAAATAAAATCAATCAATAAATCCTGAGTTATTTAATAATAACAGTTATTAATATAATTATTTAAATTATTAATTTTAATATATTTATATACAAATATATAAAAGATTTCTCTAAATATTAGACTCGTTAAACAACTTGTTTAATAATCCAAAAAAATCGACTTAAATGTTTATAGCTATATTTTAATTTTATATTTGTATATAAAATATGCAACATATATAAATTATATAATAATTTAAAGCGGACTCTCCAGCTCTGCTTTACTACAGGTTGCTTGAGTTGTCTTGTCTCGACTGCCTCGGCCTGAGCGACACTGAGAGATTTATACCTCCCATGCTGCTTCTAGAAAGACTAGGGCTGTGTCCGAAATCGCCCCCTATACCCTTAAATAGGGCACTATTTGAGGGAACAGCCATTTTTAGTGGTGTCCGAAACCATAGTGGACGTTCTCGAGTGCACTCATTCAATCCCACAATGCACTTGTACAACTGGTGCACGCTCAACGAGAAGGGTGTTCCTGCACAACCGGAGGCTGCAGTTTCAGGACCGCAGTTCTAGGACCCTATGCTTTTGTAACAGCGCCACCTACCGAATTTTTGTCTTTATTCTGAATTTTTCTGGTTAGCAGAAGATATGTCACTTTACCCTTCACCTGTTCAGGACTTTCCAGAATGACCACAAAACCCACAGCAACTTTCTAAATTGAGATGCAATGTAAGCAGTCACTACAGACAAACAAAAACAAATTCAAAATGATTTGCTGCCGGAATTCCAATAATACCAGATTAATTGTAAAAGATTATTGATATTAGTGAATTGCAATTGGTTTTTAGATGGCTGCTATTGCTGTTTATGTATTTGTTTATAGAAAAGTGATGTTAATTTACCGTAGATAATGTGTTGGAAGGAAGTTTGTATTGTATTTACTGATTTCCCCTTTTTGATTGTTAGAGAAAACCTGGCGAAGTAACTATTGAGGTCTTTGCTGGTGAACTTTTTCAGAGAACCGCTATAAAATAGATTCTTTTTGACATTGATTTACCCTGCTTATACTTTTGGTCACATAGCGGGAGTGAAATAATTACTTCAATCTTTTCCACATCATGAGACTCCTGCCATTACTAGTTTCCACTTGACCCTTCGATCACTTACCTGGTGTTACGCAATACTACCTACGAGTTCCTGCATGTAAGTAATGGATGAAATTCCTCACTAGATATAGATAATACAAAATATTTATATAGTAAATATAGTTATAAAAGGGTTAGAAATAGTAATCCATCAAAATTCTATTAAAATACAATTTAGCCTCAAAAAATCCCATACTTTAGCAGCAACATTTGATTTCTTTTGATAATCATGCTTTACTGATATGCAAAGTTGAAATAACTAAAAATTGTTATACTGATCTACCTACCAGACGGTTTCATAAATCACTGAAACGGTTTATTAGTTTTACTAAGAGTAAAACAAGAAAATGTTTTAAAAACCAGTTGGAAAAGGCAAAATCTTTATAGGGAAAAGCATACTTGCTTGATAGCTGAAGAATAAAGCATCTAGACCAAAACCAGACATAGCGGATGTTTCAGAGCAATCATAATCATCATAACTGCTTCATTAACAAACATCAGCCTCATATTGCACAATGGATGGTGTCATAAGACCATTAGAGTCTGTAAATGATCTTCTAATTGCATTGTAGACAAGGCCTTCATAGGAAGTGATTTTGCAGTGCAAATATATCCCTCAGTCACCCACAAAGCCAGTGCCGTCTTCTACACATCTCGTGTAGCAACAAACCCACATGGAAATGGAGCGAGGAGCCCAGAGCAAGCAGAATCTAATCAGTAAGATGATCTCACCTTATTTTTCCCTCTGTCCCTTTTGTCTATGAACATTGTACTTTAACAAGTAATGCACTGAGAATATAATATAGTAATTGTCTTAACTAAAACTACTACTGGACTTGAGTGTTGATGTTGATTGAGGTGTCGATTGAGGTTGTATTCTTTAACTATCATCAGTTAGATTTGTCATTTGCATTAGTGTTTGGTTTGCAAAGCAGTCAATTTTCCACACCAATACACAATTGTACTTGCATGGGGAAAGAGGAAGAAAGAAATATGCAGTACATATATGAAGTCAAATAGCTGTTTGTGTTATTTTTAGTATTCCTAGTCAGAAACTAATCACCAGGAACAGACAAGAAAGGTTAACTAAGCTTGAAGTTAATGTTGTTCCATGCATTTGGTATGTCACAATATCTAACAGTATAGTAACTGCAGGACTATTTAAAGGAACCTCAAAAAAGCTAAAATGGTGAAAAGGAAATGGTGACAGCCACAGAACACTATACACATTTTTTTCAATGTATTTAATGATTTTGTACTAAAATCTTGATGTTGGATTCACAAAAAGATTCACAAAAGCCCATGCTGATTTCAATAATCACATCAGATTATAAATCAGATCATAACTTGATAAGTAAAATGTAAACACATGTTAGTCTTTCTCTTAAAAGAGTATGATAGAAAGGGCATGAACATAAAATATGGCCTTGGTTTGAAATTGTTGGGTGTGTAGTGTGTGTGTGGAAAAAATAGCGTAGCCTTATCTGTCACACTGGGGTTATTGCTGATCCAGTGGGGGGCAGATATTGAATTTTTGGTGTAAAGTGCTTCTATTCAGGGTTAAGGGTAAAAGATAAGATGTGCTTCACAGTTTGATTGTTAGTAAGGGTTAAGATGAGTGTTACTGATAAGTTGCTAGTTAGAGAATTTTAGTTTCTTTGCAAACCAAACCAATCAAATCACATGCAGTATTCACTGAATAAAACATGTAATTAGCACCGTGTTCTTGAACAATTTGACCTATTTAACTTCATGTTAGTCATGTGCTGTTTTTGAGAATGACACCATTTTCTGTGGTTAAAGGTGAAAATAAGGGGGGTCTGGGCTGCTGTGGGTGGATCCTTGTGATTATCTCTGCACTTTTCTCCATCTTGATATTTCCAATCAGCATTTTCATAAGCATTAAGGTATGAACCACAACAGGACAAAAAAATATATAAATATATTGAAAAATATGAATTACTATTACTAGGCTCTCTTGAACCCATGTTATTTTAGTATAATTTTAGTCATTTTTATTACTATTTTGAATTCATTATATTTTTATATTTTTCATTTTCATTTTAAAGTTTATCATACAGTTGTCATACATACGACTGGTTTCTTATCGGTTTCATGACTCTTATAACACAGCTGCCTTTCTTTTCAAATAATAAAATACAATTTAAACACAAATCAATATTTTATGGCCACATATTCATTTGACTACATTTATAATAATTAATTTTACAAAATAATATGATAGCTAAATACTTTACTAAATACCCTTAAGTCTTGCACTTTAACAGGAAGTTACATCAGGAATGTTTTACACCTGCAGTTGTTGTTCAAATGTTTTATAACCCACTTCATATGTTTGATTACTGTTTTATAGATTGTGAAAGAGTATGAGCGTGCTGTCATATTTAGACTGGGGCGGATAACAGCCCGAAAAGCCAAAGGACCAGGTAAACAAGAATGTTCAGTACTTGAGTAGACTGCCAGTCTCTCAGATCTTCGATTCAGTAGGCCAAGCTAAACAAATACTGAAGTAACACCAACTTTTGTCAAAGGCAAATTAATATTTGCCTTAGAAGTTCCTCTGATCCACAGGTAGGCTACCAACTGTTTAACAGCTGAGGACCTTAACATAACTTGTTCTTAAAACAATAAATGTGGCCTACTAGCTCAGTTCCTGTACAAGGAGTCAGTTTAGTTCAAATAACGAATCAGTACTGTTTGACACAGATCATATAATAACAAATACAATTAAAAATGTTACTTGTGTCTAGGAATCTTCTTCATCATTCCCTGCACGGACTCGTTTGTTAAAGTGGATCTTCGAACCATCTCATTTGACATCCCTCCCCAGGAGGTAAACTAAAAAATAAATACTCAATAAACCAGAGGTTAATATCGAGTAATTTGCATTTAACACGTGAATAGTTCCAGCAAGCGAGGTCAAAGCTGAATCAACTGAATCAATCTGCTGTTCTCCAAGCAATTTAGCGTTTCGTTCCTGAACAATCAGTGTTTTCGAACGAATCATTTCAATGACTCGGTCATGAAGACGGTCTTGTTTCCTTCTTGAACGAGTCTGTGGCTGTGTCCGAAATCGCCCCCTATACCCTTAAATAGGGCACTATTTGAGGGAACAGCCATTTTTAGTGGTGTCCGAAACCATAGTGGACGTTCTCGAGTGCACTCATTCAATCCCACAATGCACTGCAAAAACGAGTTTACAACTGGTGCACGCTCAACGGCTAGAGAATGCCCAAATTGCCCATAATGCACCGTGAGAGTCACGCGCCGAATGAATTCCCGCATCTCGCCAGAAGATGGCGCCCGCAGCTGATTAATCAATCCGTTCATTTTTACAAAGCGCTCATCCATGGCGTACAGCATAATGTACAACACGGGTATAAATTCATTGTAAATTGATTATTAAATTGTTTGATTTGGGTTTATACATAATTTCCGTGACAGAGTTTAAGATAAATCCTTTAATCTTACTACTGGAGCTGCTAGTTTGCTAGTTTCAAATGATTAATAAACAGCAAGCGCAAACTATTCAAAAGCGGCATTCCTTCCGGTGCACTCAGTGTCCGAATTCACTACTCGTTTTCATTCACTCCTTCTAGTGAACTGAATTAGTGACCTAATGTAGGGAATAGTGAATGAGGGTATAGGGGGCGATTTCGGATACAGCCATTCTCTAGAGAGGCTGACGAGTCCTGAATTTTCCAGGCGCGCACTGATGATCTCGTACATACTTGCAAAGAAACATCAGCTCTCCAAATATAGAAAAAGAATAAGATGGTAGAATCGTGATTACTATGCAACAGGTGGGTGGGGAAATAATAATTTTCTTAAATATATATATATTTAATTCAGTATTTTTATTTGAACTGCTTTTAAACCGGTCATTACTGTGTTATTATTCGGAAGTGTAATGTTGTTTAAAGCGTAGCTGTACTGTTAAAGCATTGTTTCTCTTCATTAGGCCTATTATAGTTGTCGGGCTTTGTCATATGATTTCTGTTACAGGCCAGGATGGACCAATCATGGTCGTTTGGGATTACTGCATGTGCATTACAACACATTTCCTAAACATTTCTGGGCGGATTTATGCTATGTAAATTATTCGAAATAGTTATATAACTAAATTATTGTACTTTTTAGTCTACAGTTCAAAATACACCAATTAAATGGGTTCAAGAGCGGACTGGCTTTTTTGGGCCACCAGATGCTCACTTTTTGCCTTGTATAAAACATTAGTTCTAATATTTTCCCGCCCAGATTCCTTTTACACACGCGTAATCTCATCGTAAAAAGCAATATTGTTGCATTAGTGTTAATATAAAATATAGAATAAAATATAATAAGCTTCCTACACAATGATAGAAACGTTTGTGATATTAATAGCATAAATATGAGTCAAAATGCATATTGTGACAGCAAGATCTTTAATGTAGAGATTTGATTACATCAATGCAGAAGGGAACACATCTGACAAATGATGTATGCAAAGGTAAATCACAAAGTGCTGATGTGGCAAATATTCAAATGACAGCATTCACAGTGATATTTGCTTAAGACATTTGCAGTCCCTTAGAGATGGTGATCAAGACGTGTGCTTCTTGTGAGTCTAGCTGGCTATTTGTGGGTATGTTTGGGGTCAATAATATTCTGCAAACCTCTCACAGAATTTCCCAAAATCTCATTTCAACTGTGGTTACATTTATTGTCATCTAAGATTAGCCTAAATAACATATAATGGTCTACGTTATTTTAATATAAGAATTTCTAAAAAGCCACAGAGAAGATGGACGTGTGTTAGAACGTGAAAGGGAGAAGAATCCCTATTGGTGACACAATTCATAAAATCCCCCAAGCGGGGTATTTTTAGCAGCATGTGCTGCAGGGTCATGGAAGTTTCTGCACACAGTGGTGTGTATCATATTGCCAGAATAATCTAGCTTTCAGCAGTAAAACACAGTACATTCATTCAAAAAAAGCTATTGTATTTTCTTATGCAAGATCAATAAATCAGGAATAATATGCTGAGACTAACATTTTTATATTAAAAAGCCACAAAGACAATTTTTTTGGTCATGAACTATTGAGTGTAGCGTAACCTTGGGTGAACAGAATAACCATGTAAAAACAAAGCATAGTAATAATTATCATATATTATCTTATTTGATCAGTAACTATCAGTAACCAATATTTGGCACATTTTTAGAGCCATAGACAGTGGTCCTTTTCATATTTCAGGTTAAAAGATGATTTACAACAAATGCTATAATACATGAATTCTAACAATGCATATAAGCCTAAAAGTGACATGAACGTATATTTTGTCACTGGACATTAGTAATACTATTAAATAAGAATAACATTGATTAAAATCAAGTTTCGTTTTAAGAAATTTATATTAATAGAAAATAAATCTCTTGCTTCACTGGTTAATGCAGGTCTCTCCATCTTTGATGAAGGTTGAATCCATACAGTCACACTAATATCTGTAAGTAGAACAACAGAAAATGTTATTTTTGTCATAACTATTCAGTCTGGTATAAAGAATATTCATAATATGAAATTGTTTGTTTTTTATTGATTGTTCTGTGGTACAACTCCATTCAAAAATTTGGGGTCATTTTTTTATTTCTTTTATTCAGTAAGGATGCATTAAGATAAAAATGACAGCAAAGACATTTATTTTATAATGTTACAAAATATTCCAGTTTCAAATAAATTCTGTTCCTTTGGACTTTCTATTCATCAAAGAATTCTGAAATATCACAGTTGCCACGAAAATTAAATGGCACAACTGTTTTCAACATTGATAATAAGAGATAATAATAAATGGTGAGCCTTGGTGAGCATGAGATACTTCTTTCTTATAATCTTACTGTGCCCAAACTTTTCAAAATAGTGAATAGTACGCTGAAATAATAATTGTTTATTATTATTATTATTAAAAATTGTTCTAGACCAATATGTTGAAGACAATTAGCAATTTTACTGGTTTTGTGAGACTTTCATTGACAACCAGCAGAGGGAAGTAAGTGACCAAACATTTTATTCTTGGATATTTCATGAGAAGTTGTCCTAAAATATGAACACCAGCCTTTCTTTATTATACTACATTACAGTAAAAATGTGTATATTGTACATAGTCAAAATCATTCTGAGTTGTTTTAGAGCCCCTGTCATACCTGTAGTAATTTGGTTTAAAGGGTCCGTTCTTATTGAGGCCCATATATTTGGCCTGTTCATCTGACAGCTCTGTAAGATGAGCATCGAAATTGGGTAGGTGCAAGCTGGCCACATATTCATCTGAAATACACACACACACGTTCATACATGATTTATCATGGGTAATGCACATAACTGCTTTATTTGAGTTGCAGTAGTGATTGGTTCAGATAACTCTTACCCATCTTCTTGGGCAGCAGGTAGACATCTTGTTTGTAGCGACCTTCTGGTGCATTATACAGCTCTATCAGGGCCAAAGCCTAACATTAAAATAAAGAGCACAACAGCCAGCGATTAGAGATGTTAAATCAGGCATAATAATCATACAGCTATGCAGCGGCACTCAGAACCACTAATATAAATGGATAAAATGTCATCTGTACAGAGGGTACAGACACACTTCAGCTAAAACCCAAATCGTGACAGCTTAAATTACCTGGGTTGTGGCCGTGATTGATAGCACAAATGAGGGGACTGTTGAGCAGCTCAGGTTCAAGAGCCGGCCCTGAAAAACAGCACATAAATGACTGAGATTTACTGTGATCCAGTGGGAGAACACACAAAGAACAGAGATTTATTAGAGAAAACTGACGCTTATTACAAATCACAATATAGTAATGTTTCACAAAAATGTTTGTAAAAAAAATGTTGATTTTAAATAACCACGTGGCAATGCCTTTTTTGCATTAAGAATTAAATACTTCTTTTTATTTGATTCTTTTCTTTTTGTATTTGGAACTTTGATGGAAATTTTTCACCAAAACAAAACCAAAAGTATTCACAACATTAGTGCATAAGCATTGTTAAAAAAGTAAGACTAATAGACTAATATTATATTTTATAAAAAATATATACTCCTGTTCAAAAGTTTAGGGACGGGAGGATTTTTTAAAATGTTTTTGAAAAAGAAAGTCTATTATGCTCACCAAGGCTGCATTTATTTGATCAAAAATACAGTAAAAACAGTAATATTGTGAAATTATTGAAATAACTGTTTTTTATGAATATATTTTAAAATTCCTGTGATGCTGCAAAGCTGAATTTTCATCAGCTATTACTCCAGGATTCAGTGTCACATAATCCTTCAGATGATCACTTTAAATCATTTAATGCTGATTTGGTGCTCAAGAAACACTTCTTATGATCAATGTTGAAAAAACGTTGTGCTGCTTAATGTTTTTGTAAAAAAAAAAAAAAATTTTTTTTTGTATTATAAATGTCTTTAGAGACACTTTTGATCAATTTACTGCATCCTTGCCGAATAAAAAAATCTTACTGATACAAAACTTGTGAATGTTAGTATACAATGTATAACTATATATTATTTGACTATGTAAGTTATTTAATATACATTATAAAAACAAAAAATTTTACATATATGCCCACATTTATGATCACACATGTATATTAATGCGTCAATTTGTGGCATTGCTCTATAATTGTAAAACAACAAAATTCTGCATTGTATTGTGCCTAACAACACCGTTAAATAATGAAAATTTGCTCGTCTTGACTTGTTCAGGACACATCCTGCTCTGTTTTGATTCTTTGTGTGTAAATAACATTAAGCAGTCCTGAACTCCGACTACCATGCAAATATGACAAATATGTCTACTGTAGTAT